GTCTACATACAGACATAAAATGACATACCCTTAAGATGTGTTCTTAAAGTGTACGCACTTATCCGACTCATTTATCTTAAAACCGTTGTTCATCATTACCTGGTCAAACTTATCATGCCATTGTTTTGGCGTTTGTTTAAGACCGTATAATGATTTCACAAGTTTGCAGACCTTCTTTTCTTGGCCTGGAACCTTAAACCCCTCGAGTTGTTCCATATAGATTTCTTCCTCTAGTTTTCCATTTAGAAAAGCTGTCTTTACATCCATTTGGTAAACATCCGGGTTTCGTATGGATTCAAATGTGATAATCATTCTGATAGAATCTATCCTAGTCACGGGCGCATAACTATCAAAGTAGTCATAGCCCTCACGTTGGCTATACCCCTTGATCACAAGTCTAGCTTTGTACTTGTCAATGGAGCCGTCAAGCTTCATTTTTCTCCGAAAGACCCATTTAGAACCTAATGGCTTACACCCTGGAGGGAGATCAACCAATTCCCACATGTGATTCTGAAGAATAGAATCAACTTCACTTTTTATGGCTTTTCGCCACTGAGGTCCCTCAGTTGAGGTTACATTCTCGTGATAGGTTCGTGGTTCCTTTTCTACCAAATAGGTTAGAATATCGGGTTCATTTTCCATTAAGAACGATAAAGTTCCTTTGTCAAATTCTATCAGATATGTTATGAAGTCAGAACCGAACGTCTTTTCAATTCGTATTCTTTTACTTCATCTCAATTCAGTTTCATGTTCAACTTCATCATCGTCACCGGAATTCAACTGATTTGGATCATCGTAATCCATCATCTCAATATGAGAACGTTCGGATGAACTAACTTTGTCACTTGACTTGCACAAAAAAATGTGCACGAAAAACATTGCATTCCGTGACTCTATAATTGTGTTCTTGTAAATTTCAAGATTATCTGATTTGTACACCAAGAACCAATATGACGTACTATTGTACCCAATGAAGATTCCATCAACTGTTTTGGACCGATCTTCATCTTCTTCGGTGGTGGTGCAAGTACTTCCGCGAGACACCCCCACACTTTGAGATACTTATAGGAAGGTTTCTTATTATGCCAAAGTTCATACGGAGTTTTGTCAAGTTTCTTACAAGGAATTTTATTTAGTAAATAATTACTTGATAAAACAACATCCCCCACATGTTCTAGGTTAATTCAGAGCTAAGTAGCATCGCATTCATCATGTCTTTCAGAGTGCAATTTTTCCACTTTGCTACGCCGTTTGATTGCAGTGTATACGGTGGGTTAATTGATGCACTATTCCGTGGTATGCACAAAACTCATTAAGTGGAGCATCATACTCACCACCTCTATCGCTTCTCAATGCTTTGGTTTTGCGATTGAGTTGATTTTCCACTTCATTCTTATATCGAATAAAAGTGTCTAACACTTCATCTTTACTTTTCAGTAAATAGATATAACAATATTTTGTGCTATCATCGACGAAGGAAATAAAGTACTTATTACCCCCTCTTGAAGGCGTTGTTCGAAAATCACACAAGTCGGTGTGAACCAACTCTAGATGTTGAGTATTCCGTTCGATCATTTGAAACGAACTTCGAGTTGACTTTGCCTCAACACAAGTTTTGCACTTGTGAGTTAAGTCAATACTAAACTTAGGAATGAGTTCCATGTTAATTAATTTTCGAAGGGATGCATAATTAACATGTCCTAGTCTACCATGTCATAAAATAGAAGACTCACACACATAAGCAACATGATTTTTATTGATTTTCTCATGAACAGTCATTACATTTTGCTTTACAAGCCCATCGGAAATATAACCTTTTACTATAAAAATCCCTTTCTTGGGCAAGATTAGCTTATCTGATTCAAACACCATCCGAAAGCCGTGTGTGATCAGCAATGACCCCGACACTAAATTCTTACGAATGTCTGGCACATAGAGCACATCGTTAAGCGTTAGCTCCTTGCCAGAGGTCATTTTGAGCTTAATCTTGCCAACCAACCCCTTAAACCTCTGATTGGGCCGAGTTGCCCATCCAGACCTTGTCACCGGGTCTCTTGGAAGTCGTGAAACATGCTCCAGTTGGAGCAAATATGGCGTGTGGCCCCTTTGTCCACAAACCATTCCCTCGGGTTTGACCCGACAAGATTCACCTCGATGACAACTGCACAGAGGTCCAACTTGTCAAACTCTGTGTACATGGCTTCAGTGGTTTTCTTCTTGTTCTTTTATGGCTTCTTTTTCCTATAGTCGAAGGAACGATGCCCGATAATGCCACAATTGTAGCTTTTCCCCGCAAATTTAAAAACCCCACCTTTAGGACCAATTTTCTTTTTGTCCTTCCCGCCATGTGAAGAGCCTGATAGATGTTCTACCACATTCGCCTTTGTCCCTCCACCTCTTCTGGCAAGCCCTTCCTCTCGGATTCTCAACCGCGTGAGCAGTTGCTCCAGGTTCAGCTCAGTTCTTTTGAGCTTGGAAGTCTTCCCAAGAGCGTGGAAGTTTGTGAATGATGGCCGCTACTTGAAATTCTTCACTGACGCCTACTTTCTCTTCATTGCATTTATTGAAGATTACCGCAAGCTCCTCAGCCTGGGCGACAACAGATTTGCTGTCAACCATCTTGTAGTCTAGCATCTTCCCGACGATGAACTTCTTCGTGCCGGCATCTTTAGCTTGATACTTCTTGTTGAAGCTACTCCAAAGCTCTTTGCAAGCTTTGCACCGGCATACACGAGGTACAATGTCTCGGCCAACCCCTCGAGGATGTAGTTGATGGTGAGATAGTTATTATGGTACCATGCTTGGTTCACCATCGCCACAAGGGGGTTGTTCCCATCATTCTCTTGGGGAGGATCTTGCTGTAGATACTTAGCAAATCCCAGGACGGTAAAAAAGAACATCATCTTTTGTTGCCACATTTTGAAGTTCGTGCCTTTGAACTTCGGTGGCCTTTAAACCATACTAGCAAGCACAGAAATTGGCCCAACTGCATTGGGCGTATGGAGGAAAGGTCCATTTGACGCCCAGTGAGGTCTAACGAACGGATTGACTGGTGCGTTGAACTCTGCGTTCGGTCCAAAGTTGACCGTTGAGGCCGAAGCCATAGTCGGTCCAAGGAACGGGTTCGTATTACCAAAGGGGTGAACCCCCGTGGTTTCGAACCCAGGAATGGGTCGAGGAGCCGACCCGAAGATCGAGCTCGGCATCGAGAATGATGTCATGGTGGTGGACCCCACACTTGACCCGAAGGGCAGCGGTGAGGACGGCACAACCATGGCAACCGAAGAGGTTTCAACCGGAATTTCAGAACTCATCCAGTTGCCGGAGGAACCCATGATGCCGAATCCGAACTCCATCATTACTACCTTAATATTGTTAAAGATACTACAACAGGGGAAAATAGAAATAATAATAATAATAATAATAATAATAATAATAATAATAATAATAATAATAATAATCCAAACTTATAAAACATTCGGATTTTACAATGAAATAAAATAAAGAAATTGAAGTCTTTGGGAAGTTCGAACAGATTAAAATGAAAGCAGGAACACAAACGGACAAGTGCCTTGAACGACGAGTAGAGACGTCGGACAGATGGTAGGGTGTCGCCGGAGCAGTTTCTCGAACAGAGGTAAGGAAAGCGGAGTCACTGGAGCTTTCCTTAAGGTAGTATTGCCCACCTCCCGCACTGGCAAACGTGGGCAATCTCCTCCCAGGACAAAATCGCTACGTGCAAGGCATAGGGCGGTAGAACCATGCACCAACGAACGAGAACAACGGGATGATACTGCCGGGGAAGACAATCGGAAACCGGGGGATAGTCGAAAAGCTATTCATATTACAGAGAAGGGTTTTCTTGTGTTTTCTCCTGTGTTCTTCCCTGCAGCCAAGCCCTCCTTTTATAGGAGGGGAGGTGGCTCTTCGCTGGACCGGACAGAGTTTACGAGGCGTCACAGGCCAACCCTTCGCCTCCCTGTGCATGCATGCTCCTTTGGACAACACTTCGTTAATCACAAAGTGTCCACGCGTGTTCAATTCGGTCTCAAAAAAGATAGCCACGGCGTGGGCGGCGCGCCTCGCCCCGCCCCGCCGCGACGTGCGCGCGCGTTGCGGGTCGTGACGTGCCGTGAGGAGTCCTTTCTTGTTCCTTTCATAAACTCAATTAAATGTTTAAGTTTAAATTTGAGAATACAAAAGGTTCAAAAACCGGTGCGGGACAAGGGTTTTACTCTTCCCTCATGTTCAACTTTGAGAATTAATTTCTCATTCACGCGAGCACCATTTATGACGTGTAATATGTCGAAACATTTATCTTACTTACGAGATTAAACATCCATAATTATTTTGGAAAATAATTTTGTGGACCATCCTGAATTTATGTTCGAAAATGTCCAATTTATCTTAATAATTTCCAACAATATGCAATAAATTCAAATTCCTATTCATTATTTATTGGAGTTTTAAAATGATTTGTATTTGATTCGACCCTCTTTCGTTAATATTTGAATATATTTGAATATTTGTATTAGAAAATATATATATACTCGTATTTTAGTTGTTTTTTTAAATTTTTTGTTGATATAAGTAAATGGTGTACCTTTAAAATAAATAAAGTTATTGAATTCAATGCCTGTGTTACCAAATTATTAAAAATAATGGGATATTGAAAATATCTTGACCATTTATTGTTTTAAGGTCCACTAAGAATTACAAGTATAAATACTCAATAAATCATCTAAGCACATACGAATAATTTGAATTTTATACGAATCGAATATAGCCATATTCGTATTTGTATTCTAATAATAAAATATGACTTGAATTTGCATTCGTATTCTATTAAATTGAATACAAACCGTTCTTTTCGAATACAAATACCGAATAATATAAAAAATATTTGAGTTGTATAAATCCCTATAATGTGTGTATAGAGTAAAAGGGCAATGAAAATACTTTTAGGAGCTGTTTGGCAACTTCTGAATAAGTAAGTGTTGAACTAGTAAGAGGTCTGAACCATTAAGTGCTGAACCAGTAAGAGGTCTGAACCATTAAGAGCTAGTATATTGCTTAACTATTCAGAGGCAAATGTCTGATCAATTCAGATAAGAGGTCTTAACCATTCAGACTCTGTATAATACTTAACCATTCAGAAGCAAATCTCTTAACCATTCAGACATCTGAACCATTAAGAGGCAGAAACAAACAGTCTGAACCATCAAGTGCTGAACCTTTCAGACATCTGAACCATTAAGAGGTTGAAACAAACAACCCCTTAATGTTCCCCTGTTATGGATGTTTTAATGCCTCAATAACTTTAAACACGGCCCCTCTTTATACGCCACTTTGGGCTCATTGGCCCATATTATTGATTATTGAATATTATCGCAAAGAGCGAACCATGTTGGATTTGCTACATAAAAACGAAACCCTAAAGACCCGATCTGCGTCGGGCCTAGTGGAAATGGGAAGGAAGAGAACCCAACGAGAAGCCGAAGTAGCCGCGGCTCACACGACGGGCAATACTGTTAAGTCCGATCTTGAGCTCATCCCCGTTAATGGAGGCGACACGGAGAAGAAGACAAGTGTGAAAAAGAAGAAGGAACAGAGACGTGAACGAGAGCTGAAGGGAGGAAATGTAAAGAAAAGCAGACCCGAGATCGAAGCGGAGTCGGCGAATGCCGATTCTAAACATAAGAAGAAGAAAAACGAAGACTTCGAGGGGAGTAATTCTGCCCTTTCAAAGGACTTGCCCACAGTCTCCATTGCCCTTCCGGGGTCTATCATCGACAATGCACAGTCCCTCGAGCTCGCCACTCGCGTAAGTGTCTTCTCCACTTACAAATGGTAATCATATATGCTTAGAGTCATATACAGACATGTTCATATACGTTTTTCTCTGTTTTGATCAGGGAGATGTTTGATTGTGCAATAGACTTTTTTTCTTCTTTTAATTTAACTCAGTTTTGCCATTAATTTAAGACAGCTGGCAGGACAAATTGCACGTGCTGCAACCATTTTCCGGATAGATGAGGTTATTCCCATACCCTTACCTTATTAGATTTGCTGCATATTATGCACCTAGTGATTAAGGTCAATGTATTGTTGCCCTGACAAACTACAAGTAATATGCTTTGTTAGAGGTGGCACTAAGATATTGAAAGACACAACATGCAAAATTTCAGCACAAAAATGAGTTCGGTCTTTGTTTTCACAGGTTGTTGTGTTTGACAATGCAGTCAATTCTCAAGATAGTGCAGACATACCCTTGGAGCCCAATTTAGATGAAAATGAAAGCGGGGCAGCATTTCTCTTTATGATTCTGAAGTATATGGAGACACCTCAGTATCTAAGAAAGAGCCTATTTCCCATGCATAAAAACTTAAGATTTGTGGTATGGATTCACTCGTTGAATTACAGTACGGATGCATCCTTTGGGTTTATACCTGTATAGACACACTTATCCTTGGTTTCCATTTTTTTCAGGGCTCATTACCCCCACTTGATGCCCCACATCATTTGCGGAAGCACGAATGGGCTCCTTTTCGAGAAGGTAGCATTCAAAAATAATTCCATCATTGAAGAATGGCTGTTGGTGGCTTAAGTTTGAGTAATCCCACTTTTTACTTGTAAAATATAAATTATTTCTATATATATATATACATACATACATACATACATACATACATACATACACACACACACACACACACACACACACACACACACACACACACACACACACATATAGCCTAGTCAATTTTTCATTATTCTTTGAATTTTAACATATTAAGAGTCAGCTGCATCTTTGTGTTCTATGTTCCAAGCGGAAGTAAAAAGTCAACAATTTGACTCTGTAAATGGTACAAAGGTTTATTCTTGTACTTCATAGTTATTATTATTAGAGATGCATTGATGGTAGTTTACACAAGTATGGTGCAAAGGTTTATGCATATGATGGCTTACACTTGATCTCTGAACTTCAGGTAAGTTCTATGTGGACAATGTTAATTGACTGATGCTAAAACTTTGCACATATCTTTGTTTCCGATATTGGAATTGATTCATTGACTTGATCTCTACATTTGCCTTGTAAGCAAAGCAATTCCATCAATTTTGGATCGTAATTATTATTATTAGAGATGCTTTGATGGTAGTTTAGACATGTATGGTGCAAAGGTTTATGCATTGTAGTTATTATTATTAGAGATGCATTGATGGTAGTTTAAGCGAATATGGTGCAAAGGTTTATGCATATGATGGCTTACACTTGATCTCTGAACTTCAGGTAAGTTTTATGTTGACAAGGCTAACTGACTGATGCTAAACTTTGCACATATCTCTGTTTCCAATATTGGAATTGATTCATTGACTTGATCTCTACATTTGCCTTGCAAGCAAAGCAATTCCATCCATTTTGGATTGCAATTATTTGGGATTTAACTGGGTTGTTGTTGTTGTTGTTTGGATTGCAATTATTATTATTATTAGAGATGCTTTGATGGTGGTTTAGACAAGTATGGTGCAAAGGTTTATGCATTGTGGTTATATTAGTATTAGAGATGCTTTGATGGTAGTTTAGACAAGTATGATGCAAAGGTTTATGCATATGATGGCTTACACTTGATCTCTGAACTTCAGGTAAGTTCTATGTTGACAAGGTTAATTGACTGATGCTAAAACTTTGCACATATCTTTGTTTTCAATAGTGGAATTGATTCATTTACTTGATCTCTACATTTTCCTTGTAAGAAAAGCAATTTCATCCATTTTGGATTGTAGCATTGTTGTGGCTTAGTTCTTGCTCATTTTGTTTTCAGTTTACTTTAGTGACGTAGTCTTGCATTTAACCTCTATGGGTTATCCCTTCCTAAGATGCATAGTCATTGTTGTCATCATAACCCCTTTATTCCAAACAGTGATGGGTCAGTGATGTGACATATAGTGGGACTTGATTGTCTAAAAGTTAGTAACCCTAAATTTATGCATAATACCATATCAATGTCTTAATCTGGACAGCATCTCAGTCACCACTGCCTTATAACAGAATAATGTTATGAAATTTCAAAACCACCATCATATGGTTTTCCAATTTCCTGGGATTAAAATTTCCAACGATGATTGTTGATTTTCTTTCGTTATCACTTAAATCATTTACACCTTTTAAGTTTATTAAGGTCTTATTATTTGTCAATTTAGAAAATTTTAGTAAGAAAATGATGTCTCTCTGATTTCAGGTGTCACACTTAGAGATCAACATCCAAAAGTAGGACAGACACTGGTTGATGTGGGACTTACTAAGGTATTTCATGTTCTTCCATATGTTGCTGAGTACCAATCATTTCATTCTTTTCTTTTCTTTCCTTTCTTCTTATAAAGATTTTTATGTTTTCAAATGAAGCTGAATTCTTTATTGTTAATCATTGCTGGTTTCTATTTGATCTGCCCCAAACGTTTTCATAATCCCATGCTCAATAGTATTAGAGGTCATTTTGGAAGTATACGTAAAGTAATGTGTTTTTTTGGTTGGTTAATAGTATATTTTGAACCAAAGTTTGGACATTCTTGGAACAACTTGGAGAGTTTTTTTAATCCTGCATAAATAGACCTTTTTTTAAAAAGGTGTTTACTTGCCACTTGTTGGGGAGCGGGCTTTAGCAAAAACTTAAGCAGTAACCTGAACTCCTGGAAGATTATCAAACCATGCTCTTCGTGGTATGCTGGATGCTCTAACTACTACATACGTAGTATTTGTTTAGAAGGTAAATCTGGTAATAGTTTAAGAAGTAGGACTCAAATGTTTTTATTTCGGTCTTTAGGCTTGTCCTTTCGTATCCGTGATGTAACTTTTATCAGTGTAATTGAGAAAGACATTGGATCAGAGTGTTAATTGCTGTTGGGTATTATATTCGCTATGTTTGATTTTTTTAGTACATGAATTATTTAATTGCATGTTACTAAGTTTTAAATTGATAGATCAACATGATGTGCAGAATGTACTGATTGATCAAGACATTGACCCAGGGAAAAGGGTAACAGTATCCATGGGAACTGACCGTCATTTGGAATCAGGTAGTCTTTGGAATGAAAGATGAGTTTTTAAATAACACCTTTCATTTGTTTGCTACGCGCATTTAAAATGGTATTGGAAATCAATAATTACAGATCAGCATGTCTATTCAGATTGCATTTCATTCTTATTCCAACCATTAAAATCAATCAAGGAATCTCATTGATTTTCATTTTGCCCCCTCCCCCCCCATCCACAGCAGTTCCTAAAAGGCAGTCTTGGGTATGGGCAGAAGGCATCATGATTTATCAAGGATATTGTATTTTCAAAACTAATTTCTTGTTTTATTCAGAGATCAGCCTGCCATACTATAAATCATATCATTGTAATAGAAATACGGAATGATGGACAATTCTATTGAGATTTTTATATCTTTTACCATTGTGACTAAGTCCCATGTCGCATGCATTTATTGGCGGCTTAAGTTAATGTTGCCCCATAATCAACATGTTGGCCATGTGAATTAGCCTACAAATGCATGGCGCGTAGGAGACTGGGTGTCAATCGTTCATGATTAGAGACCAACAAGTACTATACTATTGCTTATTGAATGAGAAGTGTAGTCATAGGTCATGATGTTTGCTGTCCATTGCATTGAAAGTTGAAACACAATAAATTGATAGTGTTGAATGCAACCAGTCCCATATTTTAATTTTCAGACATACCACACAAAGTTGTTTCTACTTCCATGCCAAGGAAAGTGGCCGGGATGTATTGGGGCTATAAGGTGCGATATGCTCCCAACATTAGTTCCGTATTCAAGGATTGCCCCTACAAGGTATTGTACCAACATGGTGATCTATGTGAAATATTTAACCTCTTTGTATATTGTAATATTGTCCATGATGCAAACTTAATATTCATTGTGTAGGGAGGTTACGATCATATTATTGGGACCTCAGAACACGGTATTTCTGTTAGTTCCTCTGAACTTACTCTGCCGCCATTCACGTAAGTTGTTTTTCTTTTTTCCTTTGAGGAAGTAGTTTAAATTCGAGCTGGTGTGTTTCAACCATTACAACACGGTTGGTTGTCAAATATAGCTACATTTTGTTCATTGCATGCAAGTTGCAGTGTTAATGTACTTTCCTTTTTAGACAAACAGTTTTAATGTAGTTGAATGTCTGCTTGATGGTACTTTAGTAACAGTTAGGGCCTGTTTGGTTCACCTAGTCCCCACTTGATAGTCTAAACTCTGCCTGCTAAACCACATTCCTAATCCCCTTCTGTTAGTCTGATAATTGACTTTACTTTAAGGGCCCCTTTTCATATAGACAGTCACCTTTTTCTTGGTGTTTGTTTTTGAAATTTTAGAAACCTATTAGTTGCTTTTGGTGGGCTTGCGGGGCTGGAAGAGTGTATTGAAGAAGACAATAATTTAAAGGTATCATCAAGAAATTTAAAGATTGGTCGATGCAATTCCAAAATTTATCACTCGAACAAGGGATTAAACAGTTAATATATTCATGCTGAGTATACAACAACTTTCAGGGTAGAAATGCTCATGACATATTTGATCTCTATCTGAACACATGCCCGCATCAAGGAAGCAGAACCATTCGAACTGAGGTAATTTTGCTTTTACTTATGAATCTGCCGGTGCCAAGTCTTTTTGTTAGCTCCGTATTTTGTTACATGCAAAGTGGCGCTGCAACTTCATAATTTTGCCAAAATCAGGAAGCCATCTTCATATCTCTGCAATATTTTCAAGAACCAATCAACAGGGTTTTGGGGAAGAGCTAGAGCCGGAGGAGCCTCCCCCCATGCCAGAGATGCTGCTAAGAATTGAAACCGTTGTAGAATTTTAGACATGTCACATTCTGCAAAACTCAATGAAAGTTGGAAGTCCTTCTGGAAGGCTTTGGGAAGCACTAATGTGGGGTTACTACACTGATTCTTGTTAGGGTTCCTTTCGAACTAGGAAAATACTAGCGAAAGAAAACCTGGAGGAAAATACATGAATTTTTTTTCTTTTGGAATAAGAAGTGTAGTTTTCACTAGTATGATAACTTTTTTTTAATGTCTATTCTGAACTCATTTTATGCGTCTTAAGTTGTATGAAGACTAAATGTAAGCATTTATCGGTAAATTTTACAATGGTGCCCGACCATTGAGCGATGGATTATTTTGGTATTTGAACTTTATATATTCTTGCAAAAGCAACTCAACTTTGAAAAATTTCACAAAAGTATTTGAGATCTTCAGATTTGATCAGCTTTAGGTACTTTTGTAAAATTTCTTTAGAGGCACTTTTGTAAAATTTCTTTAAAAATTAGATATTTCTACAAGAGGAAATATAATTTATTTTTACAAGAGGAAATATAATTTAGGTACTAAAATGATAAATCACTCAAAGTTTGGGTATCTTTAGTAAAATTTACCTGCGTAATTGTTAACTTTTTTTATAATTTATTACTCTTTGTCTCATTTTAAATTGCTTGTTTTTCTTTCTTTACCGTCCCAAAATAAGTTGTCTGTTTTTTGTTATCATAAATTTTTAAGAGTAAAATATTAAAATTATCTTTAAAATAAGTCAATCTTCTTAGTTCTATTTTTTTTTTTAAATATGCCCAAAGTCAAAATGAGCGATTTAAAACGGGACGGAGAGAGTATTACTCTTGTCTCACTTTTATAAGAAATCATTAAATCAGAGTAAGATTTAAAATTAATCCTCAAAATATGAGATGAATATTTTCATCTTTAAAATATGAGTTTGAATTGTAACATTATGTCATTATATAGTAATATCCCACTATTTTTTTTATTGTTATATATTGTGAAGAATTGTGCATTGACTGCCAGTTATCCTAACTTTTCCAACTTCTTTCCTATTCTTATGAATTTTCCTAGTTAGAGGACAGATGTTACCTTTCTTCCTGGTATATAATAGCTTGGATTATGGTACGTGTACCCCAAAATTTGTACCCCATTTGTACAACAAAGCTTTGCACCAACATTTTGATGGTTGACACTGACACAAAGTGTTGGTGCGTTAACAAAAATTTACACTGATTCAAGGTATTGGTGTGTTAACAAAAATTAACATTACACCAACACAAAATGCTGGTGCATCCCTACGGTGTACAAAATGAGGTACAAATTTTTGGAGTACAAATAACTTTATCCTATTAGCCTTGCTTCTGATATTTTGTATGGTCAAGAATAAACTTCAAATTCAATTATGGTATGTTTGGGAACATGGATTTGGATTTCAAATCCGGATTTGGCTTAAATTCCATGTTTGAGAAACTTACAAATTTTGAACTTGGATTTGAATCAAATTCTTCTCATTCATAACAAAGCCTAATTTTAAATCCATGTGCCCCCTTGTCATTTGAAATTCAAGATTTGAAATTTTGGAATTGAAATCAATGAATTGAAATGAAATCTTAGTTGCCAAACACTATCTTATATCTTTCCATTTGAAGATGATTAGGCCTTCTCTTCAATTCTTTCTTGCTGGATATGAAAATTAACATGGTATTGGAGCAATCTTTCACGCCGATTGTGAAGATCTTCTTCTAATTCAAAGTTATGTATCAATTTCTCTAATCATCAATGGCGGAAGATAATAGTTCCAACCGATTCTCCATCGACATTCATAGTGAATTATATCTACATCCGACTGAATCTCCCAATTTTGTTCTTTCACAAAATTTGAATCGTGATAATTTCTCATAATGGAATAGATCTATTGAAATAGCGCTGAGTGCAAGAAACAAGATAGGTTTTGTTGATGGAACCTCTAAGAAACCAGATCAAACTTCTCATATGCTTTCGTAGTGGAATAAATGCAATAACCTGGTGATATCATGGATTTTGCACCCAGTTGAGCCAGGAATTGCAAACAACATACTGCATTGTGAGACGGCTCAAGAATAATGGGATGATTTGGCTGAACGTTTTAGCCAATCTAATGCACCCTAGCTGTTTCAATTACACAAGGAGATAGCTACGTTAGTTCAAGGAACTGATTCTGTGAGCAAATAATTCACTAAACCGAAGACATTATGGGATACATACATGACTATGGTGATTCTGCCTCATTGTAAATTTGATAGTGTAGGAAGTTACTCAAAACTACTCCAAGATCAACAACTCATGCAATTTCTTATGGGATTGAATGATTCATTGAAGGCTGCGAGAGGAAATATGCTGATGATGAAGCCTTTACCAAATCTGAATCAAGCGTACAAGTTGATAAGTCAAGAAGAAACTCAAAAGGACTACACCATTGTGGCTCTTCTTACACATGAATCTAGTGCCTTAACCTCTCTTTATCATACATCTTTTGATTCTTCTAACAGGCTTGTGTTTGGAATCACTCCAAGTGGGAAAAAATCAATACGCTTTTGTCAACATTGCAAGGTCTATGGACACTATTTTGAGAGGTGTTTCGAGATACATGGATATCGTAAATCTATCAAAGGGAGCAACTCAACTGGCGAGTACAATTTTTCTCAAAGAAAAAAGGTTGCTTGACATGTGTTTTTCTGAAGGAAAAGATGATATGAGTTATAATGCTTCAATTTCAAATCAAATCTATTTCATATGAGCTTCTAGTATCTCTCTGTTCTTCTCTGTATAACCAGCTCATTGCTCTTCTAAGCAAGGACACTATGCACACTAGTGATCAACACAACACTTCTGGTTTTCTAACTGGTCACATGGCTTTAAGTGTTCATTTAGCAGGTATTAAGTCTTATTTCTTTTCCTCATGTGACGAATCAAATTGGATCATTGATAGTGGAGTCTGAGACCATATTACCCCTCATTTGTCTAATTTTCATCTTACAAACTCATTTCTGAGACATGTTTCATTACTATACCAAATGGCCAAAAGGCAAAAGTTTCACACATAGGAATTGTATCCTTACAAAATAGGATAGAGTTGCTAAATGTCCTACATGTTCCAGATTTCCACTATAACATACTGTCTGTGCAAAAATTTGTTAAACAACTGTCTTGTTCAAAACAAGTACTAGGGTGATTTTGTCCAAAGCCTTGTTTTTCCAAGCTAAACTCCCAATCAAATACTGGGGTGATTGTGTCCTTACATCTTGCTACCTAATCAATAGATTGATTCTCTCTATCCATTCTCCAAAACAAAACTCCATTTGAAACTGTTTTTCAAGCTTCCCCCACATTTGATCATTTAAGATCACTTGGATGTTTATGTTTTGCTTCTAGTTTGTCTTCCAACAGAACCAAATTTGCTCCTCGAGCTATACGTTATGTGTTTCGGGGTACCCTTTTCATAAAAAGGCCTACAAACTTCTTGATTTACATACCAGACAAGTGTTCTATAATATATATGTTAAATTTCATGAACATTACTTTCTTTTCCATCATCTCACTTCCTCTTCTCCAATTTATCCAATTCTGTTTCCTCCCATGTTCCAACCTCTCATCTTCCAACAACTTCTTCTAATAGGTCTTCTTATCCAATTTCTTCTCCCCCTACTTCTTCCCATCAATTTTCTTCTCCAATTTCTTCTCTTATTTCTTCAACCTCTCCCTCTTCTACAACTCTTCTGCTCACCCTCAGGCACTCCACCAAACTTATCAAACCTCCATGTTTACAACAATATCATTGTCTTACTCTACCACAACACTATTCGTTCACTACCTTTCACTCCCACTGGTGTCATTTTGTTCATCTAAATAAACCACGACCAAATGTATTCTTGTCTTGGCTGCATTCAGAAAGTGGGCTCTTTTTCAGCTTGATATAAATAATTCTTTTCTTCAGCTTGATATATATATATATATATATATATAAACAAAATATAAAAGAACTCACCTTAAATCAGACGAACGTGCTAAAAATGCAAGATTGAAGAAGAACTGTAACACCCAAAACATACCCTAGAATTATTAATGAATAAATCAAATTTGTTTTGATTAAAATAAATTTTTATTTGGATTTGGGCCGAAAGGAAATATGTTCTGATATCCAATATTACAATCTGGATAAATTTCATAGAGATAAATCCAATATGTTGACTATTTGTGTAACCTTGATTGGGAACCAGAGTACAGACCCAAATCAAATATCAATTAAGAAATTGACTTATGAGGTAAATATTGATGTTAGAATATAAATAACTGTTCCTGGGCCACAACCACAAGCTTGAGCTTTTGGTTGAGTTGGTTCCTTGACATGGTATCGGAGCCTCGTTGACTAAGAGGTCACGGGTTCGAAACTCAGCGCCACCCAGTTTAAAAAAATTAAGGTTTCACGTGCAAGGCTCGAAAAAGAATACGCCTGCACGTGAGGGGGCGTGTTAGAATATAAATAACTGTTCCTGGGCCACAACCACAAGCTTGAGCTTTTGGTTGAGTTGGTTCCTTGACAATTGAAATGATTTATTAAATAAATCATGGAAATAAATGATATGAATTAAATGAGAGAACCTTTATGAATAAAGGTCAATTAAATCAATTTTGACTTTGTCAAAGTAAAACCCCCAAAAATGTGATGTCGGAAAAAGTATTACAAATAAATATAAAAATTATATCGTTGAATAGAGTTCGACTGTTCGATTGCAACGGTGCAAATGGAATTCAATTCGAAGAAAGTTGGACCAAAAGTGTACCCCGACTGGAACCAAAATTGGTCCCAATCAGGGAACAACATGAAGATAGCCGTCCTGCGCACTAATGCCGTTCATGAGTCATCAGTGACTCACAATTCATGTTTCTTCCTCCCCTCCTTCCTTATATAAGAAGCACCCATAGTCCTCCATTTCTTCATCATTTACCTTCAAATAAACTCTGAGAGGAAGCTGTGAGCGTGGAGAACAAAGTGGTGCTGTCAATTTGGTGAGAAGTCGCCGAAGTTGGTAGTTGTCTTTGCCGGAAGTTTTGCGGGAAAATTCTCAAAACTTTCGTTAAGCTTCGAGGTAAGCTCGTAGATATATCTAGTTACTAGAATGTTCGTATAGATGGTTTCTACGTTCATAAATAGTTGTTTGGTTGAATTTTGTGTTTGACATACTTGAAGAACGTAACCAAGAATCATAAACCTTGAATTTGTTGTTAAAACTTCGAATTAATGGCATTTAAATGATCTATGAACATTGGAGAACATTTTTATATAGTTTAATTGAGGTTTGGTGGCTTAAAATGATTTTTCGAAATTTTAACCCGAGTTTGAAGATGAAGTGTTGTTGGCTGGTTTGCAGGAAAGGTCGACCATTCTGCCAAAAGGTCGACCGTTCTGCCACAAAGGTCAACCGTTCCTCTACTAAGGTCGACCGTTCTAAGACCAGAAACTCCAATACCACGGTTGCAATAACGGTCGACCGTTCGGCCACAAAGGTCGACCGTTCCGAACATAGTCAACTACGAAAAATGCTATTTTTGAGCTCTAAAATCCTATTTTGATACCCATCAATTATGATTAAATATAAAGATGATCCCTTGGGATAAAAATGATGTTTTGACAACTAAGAGGACTTTACGTGATGCATGACGGTAAGCTAGGGTGTTAACACTCGACGCGTTAATTGTTATTGAATATTATGATGATTATTGTTATGGATGATTATGATGTATTGATGATGAACCAATTGATTAAAATGATTATTGTGAATGATTTAAACTATGATTTGTAATGAATACATCGATGACTATGAAATGATTTAGATTGATGAATTGTATTGTTTAGGATATCTAGAAGAATTCTAGGATATACCCATTTGGAAATTGAGGATGAACTATTAAGGATATCTAGAAGAAATCTAAGATATATCCGTTTTGATATTGATTTCTAATACTATCTAGAAGACCTCTATGATAGATTAAAAATAGGCCTTGCGGGTATGATGCCCGGTGGCTAGGGTTAAAACGTATGTACGTGATCCAAGAACCAAACTTGAGTACCTACTCGTTTGGGGGTACCACCCACCCAACAGTGTACACTATGCTATCGGTTTCTGGTTGGCCTTAAGTGAAGGTAAGTTTAAGATTTTGAAGACCCTTTTATCTTAAACTAGGCATAGCTTAAGGATTATTTAGGAGTACCTTAAACTGGAATATAGTTTAATTATCTTAAACTAGAATTCGTTTAAGGGTTGATAAACATTAAAGTGATTGGCCTTATACTAAGAATAGTTTAAGGATATTGTTCAATATTGAATACTGAACATGAATGGATATTGAATGATGATTATTGAATTGAATATTGTGAATATTATGAATGACTGATGAACGTTGAATGTGAATATAAATGTTGAATAATGAATGATGAATGATGAATATTAACTAATGATTATTGAATATCTGAACTGAACATTATGTGCATGATATCAAATGATTTGATTATGAATTTAAATTCAGTTTATATGGATGTTCGACACATTAGATATGCTTACTCAGCTTCAGTGCTGAGTGTGTAGTATGTTTTATTTGCTACACGCAGGTTAATAGAAAGAATGATGTGACGTGATCCTGGAGGTAGATGGAGGCGAGATTGTTGGAATGGATGTGATAGTTTTGAATTAAAGAACATAAATAAATTATGTTTCTGATTATGATTTGTTAAGCTTCCGCAATATTAAAAACTCTGTACTGTTTATGTTATGAAAATTATTATTGTGATAAATAAAAGTGTTTGAAAAGTTACGATTACCAAGTTAATACTTTAGTCTGAAGGGGGCTGCAGACCTAGACATATTACGGTGTTACAAGAACAAAAGATTGAAAAAGCTCGATCTATAAGATTAGATAAATTCAGATCACCGTGTGCTTTAAAATACTCTATATTCAAATCAGATTTATTCAGATTAGTGCTGATTCATTAAAATCAGAATTGACTCACTATAAAATAAGATCATTACAAAGAAAATTAGAATAGGTTCAACAAGTTTCAACGAAGAGAACACAACCAAAGAAGAACATGTACATAGTATATAAGATAGATACGGTCAGGGACAACGAGTATGTAGTAAATAAATTGAGACAAACAGAAAAAGAAAACAAGTATGAAGTAATTTAAAAAGAAATCTCCATGGATAGGAGTAAAAAGTTTTAAAAAAATACCAAAATAGGAGTACTATGTTTTTTAGGACAAAAATAAGAGTATAATGACAGTGTGGTGTAAGAGTGCGCGTTGACAATGTGATAAAAAGGTGATGGCAATGTAATATATTAGTCTGATGAGTCAACCACCGGTGATCCACAATGGCACTCTAGTTAGTGGCCACGACGGGTGACAGTGTGATATTGATAGTGTGGAAGTTATAATGTGATGACTGTCACAGTATAACAATGAAATTGTAAACTCTTATTTTGGTCTCAAAAGACTTATGACTTCTATTTTAATGTTTTCATAGTTTTTTATTCCTATATAAGGAGTTCTCCATAATTTAAATTTAGACGGAGCAAGTACTTTTGAGCAATGTATAAACCACAAAAAATATTGTAGAAAAAGAAGAAAAGAAGTGTTACTAAAACAACTATTCCATCTGTTTCAAATTAATAGTTCTCATTTTTGTCCAAGAAAATAATCCTTTTTCTATACTTTGAAAATTTTTTATGGCTCGTATATTTTCCTTTTTACACCATTTTTAATCAGATAATTTTACTTTGGAAATATTTACACGAATACTTCCAAAAATTCATGATTTAACATAAATACTCTCAAATTCATTAATTTATGTCATTACTTCAAAATTTGTCTCATATTTATATTGTTACTTCACAGCTGCTTAGTCATCATGTGTGTTATTCTTTTAATGCTGAGTGGACAATTTAATTAAATCAGATCAACAACTTTAAATTACACTATAATACAATGAATCAGGTCCATTCAAAACATATCAGATCTATTCAAATCCAATCACTCGAACTAAATTAAATAATATTTGATCAACCTTAAAAATTCAAATCCGATTCAAAAAGTTTAGACGAAGAAAATCACACTTAGAAAGTTAAAAAGAGAGAAAGATTTGTAAAGAAGACGCTTAATAGACAATTAAAGCAGGTTAATCTGGTTGTTTAAAATGGAAAAGTATAAGTTGACACTCTTAAATTTTCCACTTATCATTAAAAGAGTGACGCATGCAACAAACATGATGACTAAGCATTTTTCCTTAGTCATAAATTGTGAATTTTTGGGACTTGCATTTTTCCTTTTACTTTTCTTAAATTAAATTTATGTGAAACCAAATATAGATCAAGGAGTTTAAAAAAAAAAGAAAAAAGAAAAGATTAAGGAGTATTAACTTGGATGGGTGTGAGTCACACCTTAAAGAGGGCGGCGTAAACTCGGAAACAAACGAGACATTCTCAAAGGTAGAAGCGCAATTGAAAACAAAAAAAAAACGAATTGGTCGAACTCGGAAACAAATGGGCAAGTCAGGAATTTGCGCCAAGATTTTTCACTGATCCGTAATTGCTCCCCCTTCGCGCCTTCTGTCGCTGCCATGGTAGCTCAGGTGGAAAGTCAAGCCGCCGCAGGCGGAGGCGGCCCTGCATCTATTTCAATTGCTTCCCCAGCCGCCGCCGCCTGTCAGGACCATGTAGAGAACACTAAGACTTTGATTTGCGCCCTCAATTTACTATCTCGCAATCTCCCCCTTCCTCAAGACGTTTTAGATGCAGTCTCCTCCATCTTTCTCGCCGGGGAGGATGAGCCCGGTGAAGATTGCGCTGTCCAGGGTGATAGCGGCATTGAGAAAGCGCCCAGCCCAGTAAGAACCTTTGATTTGCAGATTTTCTCTTATATAACAAGAATTGGATTTTAATTGTCTGAGAGTTTTTGGTGGGTTTCTATGTTTACTCTGAAGAAGATATATTGTCTTTGTTTGTTTTTGATAATTTTATTAAGGAAAAAATAGGGTACTCCATATTTACTTAAGCTGCAATGGACACATACATCAATGTGAAGAGTGAGTTCATCCATACATACATGATATTTGCTCCAAATTCAATAATGGCCTGTTTGGGAACTTAAATTTGGACTTCAATTTCAGATTTGATCCAAATTACATGTTTGGAAATCCAAAAAAATTGGATTTGTATTTGGACCGAACTACTTTAATTCCAAACAAAGCTCAACTACATATCCATACACTCCCCATGTAATTTGAAATCCAAGAGTTCAAATTTTAGAATTCAAATCCAAGAATTCGAATGAATTCCTTGTTTGCAAAAACTACAAAAATGAAATGTAACCTGTAAAAAGTTGAAGCTGCGGCAGAAGAAAAAAGGTTCTCGAATCTAGTGGCAGAAGGAGATCAAGATGAATTACAACCAATTTGAGTTCATGAATACCTATGAAACTGATCTTATAATCACTATTCCTCAAACTAACACAGGCAAAAATGTGCTGATGCATAAAATTAAAGAGAAACAGAATAGCTTGACTCTGTCCCTGCACGTCTGTAAATGATGCTAATGAAGCGTTCCCACCACAAAGCAACTAAATAACTTATTCCAGTGGTTCAATCTGAAATGCTTAGCTTTAGTTTCCTCTGAAATGCTTAGCTTTAGTTTCCAAAACGATGTCTTTCCACTTAACACCCATGTCTGTTCACATCAAAATATTGCAGTTTCCATGTGGCTTTATCTTCTGTTCTAGCACTGACTTTTGTTTGGTGTACTTGGGCCATGTTCTCCCCAACTTATTTTTTTACTTATTACTTATTCTTATTAGAATCAAATCAGACTAGATCAGAGCAGACCAGATCAGAAATAGTTTTAAATATAACTACATTCAGAAAATTCCAATCAGATCAGAACTAATCAGATTAGGTGAAGTATCTATGTGTAAAGAACTATTTAGTTCATACGTGTAAAGAACTATTTAGTCCATATGTGCTTCTGAAATTTGAATACAAGAGTGTTTGTATGTTTTTGTATTTGTTTGATTCCATGCTTCATTTGCTAGGTTTCACTTGATTTCATTTTAAATAAATACTTTAAAATGGTATCCTTTTTTTTCAAGAAGGGAATGAGGGAATATTTGTGAGACTGACTGTAAATCTTTATACAAGGGACCTTTGTAATAAATGCAGACATAAGGATGCAAAGGCCCACCTTAAGCCTTACTTCCTTAGCTCAATCGAATGAATTCCAACTTTCACTGAATTTGATTGCTTAGGTACATTTTAGTGAAATTTATTTGATACATTCAAGATGTGTATCCCTTGTCATATAATGTATTTGGAGATGCCCTTGGCAGTTGGCATAGTGTTAGTGTAGTAATATGGAATTATGAGGTTTCTGTGATTAGGGGCAAATAGGGTTACGTGCCTGAGAATGATTGATAACAAAGGTTAACTAATTCAGAGTGACATTAAATAACTATTAACATAATTGGGAAATGATGATTAAATGGTGTTCGGTAGCAAGGCTAGTTATAATGTGACCTCGGGGGTCAGGGATTAGGCTAATGTAGCCATTTAATAGATTATAATTCAGCCTCGTGTTATGACATAGATGAATGTCTATATAGGTTTTTTGACTAAGGAGATCTTTGATTGATCACACCTTGTCCTAAGTCTGACATGTTTACAGATTTGTGGTGGTAGTGGCAAAAGTGTTGTGACTTGTGAGGGTCGGAAGTTTTATGGTGGGTGCATGCACCAAGTGGAATATTGTTTGGTATCTTTTTCAAAGGCGACGGGGTAGAGAACATAGTTTTCAAGGAGTCGCCTAGGCATCCTGGCAGTCAGCCCCTCTCGCCATGGTGTATCACCTCGCCTTATTTCGCATCCCTTGTTTAGGTGCCTAGGCACCGCCTTTTGAAAATCCTCTATGCCTTTTAGTCTATGACTTTTTTCATACTCAGTATTTACTTTGCACTTAGAAGTCGCATATTTTGTTTTAATCATATTTCGTTTTTCATATTCTTCTTTTTTCATATTATGGCGTGTTTATATTTTTTTAAATATGTGTACTTGAAATTTTGATTAGATCTAGAGAACACGTATGTTTATATTTAAGTTAGTGTCACTCAGTGTTAGTAATATATACCAATCCCGACTTCTTATGTGTTGCCGCCTAAGTCGCCTATTTGTCCTAGTTGTCTAGGCATCATGGAGGTTCACTGGCGCCTCGCCTCGCCTTGGCTGATAACTATGGCAGATAAGCACATGGGTTGGGCCTAATGGGCTCTATCAAATCCTATGGATTTGGGTTGCTTTATGAGTTTTGTGTAGCTGGTTGTATGCCACCTGGTTTATTGTACTTAGATGTCTGGACCATTATCCAACACATTGTATATTCTTTCTTGTCTTTTGTGCAGTGGAATGTAAAAGCCATTATTTTTAGTTATCTTTGTATTTAAAAGTGTCTGCAATATAGATACTACAAGAGTTCAACTGATGACCTTTTTATTCTATTAAACATGCACAAACACAAACAGACAGACACACATATATAAATATATATATATATATATATATATATATATATATATATATGTATATGTATGTATGTATGTATCTGCATATACACACACACACACACTATATATATATATATATATATATATATTCATGTTTGTAGATTTCATATATTCTATTGTTTAAGAAATTGCTTCTTCCCAAAAAATTAGAATATGTGCATAATGATAGTGTATGTTGCTTATCCCACCAATTATGTGCATGGATATTTTCAAAGAGAAGTCCATCGGTGATGAATGACATATATGGTTAATAATTATTTAATTTCTATCATTATTACATTTTAATGTTTGAAATATATATACTTTATATATTCAACTAGGTCGTTGTTGTTGTAAACTTTATAGATTGGTTATGGCATGGCAACTTATGGAGAACTGATGGCAGATTTTGAGGATTCACTACTGAAAGAAAAATTTAGCTGTACATCAGGTTCTGCATTGCAAAGATCAAAGGAATTTCGTTATGAAAGCCACATACGTAGTCGTTTGAGTGAACTAGAAGGTAACAATAGTTTCTAAAGATAGTTGTATGAAAGTGTTGTTTGTATTCTATAACTAGCTTGGACGGACATCCAATAGTTAGAGTTAGACATTGTTCCTACATTCACTTTTATTTTTAAATTTCTTTTTATCCCACCTTTTTGGAATATAGTGGGGTCTAATGCATGAAGGAGATCCATGATTGCAAATACAACTCTTTTGTTGTCCATCTCAGTTTTTGTCCAGCTGGGAAGAGCAGTGAGATTTATTTTTTGCTTTGGTTTGGATTAACTACGCTGTAGGGAGTACACCCACGTTTTGTTTGCCACCATTTTATTGTCGTTGAGCTGTAAAGTTTCTGTAAAGATCCCTTATCTACTTTAATATTCTACAAAAGGATATCCATGGAGATCAGATCTTTGATGCTCTTTATTAAATACCTCATAAATTCCAAGCTACACACACACACACACATACATACATATATTCATATACATGTATAATGTATTTGTACATATGCACACCGTATTTTAACAAACCTGCTTTCAATTCTCACATATAACCAGATTTGCCAACAAGTAGAGGTGAGGACCTTCAGTCAAAGTGCTTGCTTGAACTCTATGGATTGAAGGTACAGTAAACTTCCAATATCTATGCAAATTATTTCAAATTTTTCTTGTATTAAATTTGCATCAAACAGTACATCATTATTTACTAAATTGTAAAGTAATAGAGTCATTACTCATTAGTGCTAAAAAATAATTGCACCAAACAGTATGTGCAATTATTAAATTGTATATGTGTTTTTTATTTTTAAATATTTAAGTTCAAATTCAGAGTGTCCATTTGTACTTTAGGAAGACAACAAAGTAATACACTCAGTAGTGAGGAAACAAGTTTATTTTCTATTGTGTTACAACTCACAAAACATTTCAATGTGTGGCGATAAGCCATAATCAAGAAGTGTCTTATTCAATTTGTTGCTATGCTGTTAATAACTCAAAGGATGTCATTAAATGTTGTTAGAAATGAAGCACTTGTAATGAATATTACTCAAGAGAAAAGGCTCATATTCAACTTAGTATATTATATATATAGACATCTTTGCACATGTTCGATGCACCTTGAGCTGACCTAACATTAAATAAAGACTGCTTGAGGAGTTGAGGTAGCTGTGACTCCTCTCTATTGAGGTTATGACAGCTGTACATCAATCATAGATGTTGAACAACCATCTGACCGTCATAGCTATTCTACTATAGTACTACACAAAGGTATACTTCAACTCTCAAGTTGGAGCTCTAAACTTTGTGAAAAGCCATCATGACCAGACAGTATACCTCACGATTCTGAAAATAAAGTTTCTGTCTCAGTCACATTTTCCATAAAACAAATACAAGGGTGTCTACATATTCTACTGCAGCTAAAGTTGTACTCATATAGTATAGTGGCACCTCCTTTACTGCACATGTTTCAAAATTCACTGAATCTTGTGCCTCATTTCAAATATCGAATGCCACGTCTTTTATCTCACCTCACTAAGTCACAATCATTAGCAATGGTTACCGTAGCCATGATTTTTATAATGTCATCTACTGGCATGTGCTATGCTATACCACTCTCCCTCAAGCGGGGACACAATCACAATTCAATTTTAAGAAGCCTAAGGTTACCCACCCTGCTCTCCTTAAGATTGCAAAACTATAACGTAATATCATGCTAAAATTAATGTTAGTATTTTTCATTACTCTGTGGCGCTAAATAACTTGTGAGTGCACAATAAAACTCATAGTCCCACACTTCCCTTCAATTTGGAGTATATAGGTCGTATCACCAAGTTTGTTACTAGTATACCCTATTCTAGGGCCTCTCAAGGCATTCATGAGATGAGAATATATGCAAATTGGTTTTCTGTGATGATACAACCTGTGGCGATGGTTCCATCAACTGGGGTTGGGAGAAGGGGGTTTTGGGGGGGGTTTGGGGGTAAGAACCATCAATTTTGCGAACAAAGCACCGTAGGTGCCCCAATTAGAGCCGGGGTCATCCGTTGACACTCAAAGTGAGTGTCAACAGAATGCCACTATGTACATATATAGATATATAAATGTGTGTGTGTGTGTAATTTATAAATAGCTTGCCATATTGTCGCTTAGGCAATGTAAATGTTTGTTGGTGACTTTGGTGCCTCGCCTCACCTTGTCATCATAGCAACCTTGCATCATACCTGATGACTTTTCATTTACTTTCAAAATAAATTATAGAACTAGACAAAAACATTTAACTTTTATTCTTGCATATAAACCAAGGCTTTGTTGTTGTTTGTATCTTTGTTTGTTATCACTAATTGCCTGTGCATCACATAAGCTTGAAAACTAGTTACACATACACACAGATGCTGGAAAGCGTGGTACACTCATGTGTGCACCCATTAGGTGTCTCACTAAACATGGTTAATGTGATTTTTTGTTACTTTCCTCCCTCTTTATTGTCCTAGAACCCCTGTTTATTTTACTCTTTCAGCTAGCAGAGTTGCAGCGCAAAGTTCGTTCTGAAGTGAGTTTAGAGTACTGGCTTCGAGTGCATTGCTCAAATCCCGATGAGCAGCTATTTGACTGGGGCAGGATGCGATTGCACCGTCCTATATATGGAATTGGAGATGCTTTTGCTGTCGAATCTGATGATCCTTTGAAGAAGAAACGTGATGCTGAGGTGATGTGTTGTGCAAAGTCGATCAATTAGTTGTCCTTTTGGTTTCAAATGATACACCACTGTTTAATACTACGTAATATACTCCCTTTTTCCTTACATTTCTGCATTCCTTCTTTTTTGTCTTCAAATTTATCCCATCCTTCCATTTAAGGAAAATACTGTGTGGTTGAAATTTGTTTGGCTCGATAAATCTCAACCACACAGTTTTCGCTTTCTTAACAAACATATGAAGTTAAACCAAGAGTTAATGTAGGGACAAAGGGAGTATATATTTTAGCATCATGTCTGTATTTCCTTCTATTTTTTTTAGTTTATGATTTGTAGTTTTGTTTTTGGTTGTTAAGGGATATATATTAGGACTCCCTTATTATAGTAAATCTCAAATCTCATACTATGCGTTCACTACAGGATGTATTTTTGGATTAGTGACTGCTGTTCTCATTTCCTCCTTAATATAATACGTAGTATATAGTACTCCATATCTGATTGCCAGAAACAGAACCTCTCCACATTCCCAGAGTCCCACGTCTAGATAAACAGTGTCTCTCTTCCACATCTTTATATTATATTCTTTGTTGCATCTCTCTCTATGATACCAAGCTTTCTAATATGACTGAAATGGCTTAACAGAGGTTATCGAGAATAGAAGAAGAGGCAAGGAATCGTGTGGAGACTAAGAAAAGGAAGTTCTTTTCGGACATACTTAATGCAACACGTGAACTCCAACAGCATGTGCTTGCTGTTCAAAAGCGGCGAAAACAGAGAAATGATGGTATCCAGGTATTTGCTTTGTTTTTTCAGTTATTCCTATTGTCTAGACCAAAGAAAAAATATTGTCTTGGTAAAATCCAGTGCTTGATACATCCATCTAAGATCTAACCTTTACAGGCATGGCATGCAAGACAAAGGCAACGAGCTACACGAGCTGAAAAATTGAGGTTCCAGGCACTTAAAGCCGATGATCAAGAAGCATACATGAAAATGGTTGATGAGAGCAAGAATGAACGGTTGAGATTGCTTCTACAAAACACAAATGATCTCCTAGGCCGTTTGGGAGCAGCTGTTCAACGGCAAAAGGATGCTGACCATGATGGTATTGAACCGTTAGAAGGTTCGGGCTCTGATTTACCAGAGTTGACAGCTTCAAAAACTGGAACTCCCGGGCAGTCAGCCCCTGTGGAGAATGAAGATGTTGTTGATAATGAGTCTCCTTGTGATACAAAGACAAATGATTTACTTGAAGGACAACGAAAATATAATTCGGCTGTGCATTCAATCCAGGAGAAGGTAGATATCGCATGCTATTATTTCTTTACATGTGGGTTTGTAATTAGAACTATTGAACCTATGTTACACAGTGATATAGTCTTCATCTTGTCCTGTAAGTCTCTCGTTAAAGCATTAAGTTTTAACGTTGTTTTCATTATATATTCTACCTTATTTTAAGTGGGAGGGTATAGGATAATGAATTAAGGCATCTTACTTTGCAAAAGACTGTTTTCTTTTCTACTTTTACATTTTTAAAAACTTTCTAACCTCTTTATCTTCTGTAATAACCAGAAAACATGTTCAAAACCAATATTTTCCAGCTTGTTTGTTTGCAGAACTTCATTGCTTGGTGGGATCTAAAGCTATTTTGGTTTTCATAAATTTTTTACATGAGGTGGTTTGGGCACACAAGGAGAAGAAACGCAGAGCCCCAGCGAAGAGATGCAAGAGGTAGTGCGGTAGGGGGGCATGAGAAGGGGTAGAGGTAGACCTAGGAAGAATAGGAAGGAGGTGATTATGCGAGACTTATGACTTCAAGATCTCACTGATGATATGTCCTTAGCTAGGAACCTTTGGAGATCTAGGATTAGGGTAGCTCGGTTTGGGGAGGGTGTGTGTATGCAGACCTTGCACTATGAATGGCAAAAGTAATCGCAACGGTCAAGACTTGCACTATTAACACACCCGCATTTGACAATTTTTTTGACCAATACGTAAGGATATAGTCATGTGTGATCTTGCTAGATTCATCTTGATAAAAAACTTTTATAATATCAATTGTTATTTATAGTTTTTATCAAAATCTAAGTGAAGTTATTAATGATGTAATATATGCATTGGCAAACATGAAAAGCAACAATTATTTTGGAATGGAAGAAGTATTTGGGATCTCAATTGCCTAACATATGTGTATATGCATGGATATATGTGGCTTATTAATGCAAATAAATCTTCCGTAACCTATAAATTTTTTATTGTAGCTGCAGAAAGTAAAAGATATACTACATTAGGGATCTCGTGTTCAATGGAATCAGGAATTACATTTTGATTACAAATTTTCAGGTGACCGAGCAACCAGCCATGCTACAGGGTGGAGAATTAAGACCTTACCAGTTAGAAGGGCTTCAATGGATGTTGTCTCTGTTCAATAACAATCTAAATGGAATTTTAGCTGATGAAATGGGGCTGGGGAAGACAATTCAAACTATTTCTCTTATTGCTCATCTCATGGAAAACAAGGGTGTGACTGGTCCGCACTTGATTGTGGCCCCAAAAGCTGTACTGCCAAATTGGATCAATGAATTTCAAACATGGGCACCAAGGTATGGCCGTATGGGTACATTATATTGACTGTCTGAAAAGCTGCATAATATGA